AGCTGTTCCACCGCTTCAACTACTTTGACCATGGAGAAGAGGAGCGGCGCTGGATCGAGCGCGGCCTGCCCCTGTAGGAAACGGCGCAACCGCTCTGCCCGGAGAGGCTTGAAGAAGTGCGGTGGAAACGTGGGTGCGGGGATTCATTTGATCCGGGTCCGTCAGGAGTTGTGCGGCAACTCTGCCCGGATTGCGGCGCAGTTTCCCGCAATCTGACATGCGGAGGTCTGCCTAGGGCGGCGGCAGGGCTCGCCACTGAGGGGTCGAGTCATGTTCATCGGTGTTCATCTGACGGTTGCCACGATTGGTGCACAGTAGTCGCAGACGGCCAGATAAGTTCCGGGAGCCACACTCTTTCCCTGGTCCTCCGGGACGGGGTTCCGGCAACCCAGCATGTCACACTCCCGCATGTGCGGCAGGCGGACCGACCCCAGGTGTTTTTCCACGGCCTGGATCGCTGCCTCTATTCCCATCCTCTCCACCGGTAGGCGGAACAGGAGTGACGGGTCCCCATCTTCCTCGTCATCCCCGGGGATCGCGTAGACATGCCCAGACTCGTGAATGATGGACACTCGCATGTCTCCTTCAGGGGTGCTCCACGTTCCGACGCTGGTTTCTGTCGGATCGATTATCTCCAGTTCCCTGATGAGATCCTCAATGGTTAGCGCTATTCTGAGTGTGTTCATTTCCCTACCTCCTCTGGGGTTTCCCTTTAAAGGGGGCCTTTTTTCACAATGGCATTCTCCGGACCATCTTTCGGCTAGGCTTGTTCGCTTACGATCGAGTTCGAGGGCAGCATTTCCCAAGTCTCATAGTGGGAAAGCACCTTGGTCTTCATTTGTCTCCCCCCCCCACCCCCCCCCCCCCCCCCCCACCCCCCCCCCCCCCCCACCCCCCCCCCCACCCCCACCCCCCCCCCCCCAACCCCCCCCCCCCCCCCCCCCCCCCCCCCCCCCCCCCCCCCCCCCCCCCCCCCCCCCCCCCACCCCCCCCCAACCCCCCCCCCCCACCACCCCCCACCCCCCACCCCCCCCACCCCCCCCCCCCCCCCCCCACCCCCCCCCCCCCCCCCCCCCCCCCCCCCCCCCACCCCCCCCCCCCCCCCCCCCCCCCCCCCCCCCCCCCACCCCCCCCCCACCCCACCCCACCACCCCCCCCACCCCCCCCCCCACCCCCCCCCCCCCCCCCCACCCCCCCACCCCCCCCCCCCCCCCCCCCCCCCCCACCCCCACCCCCCCCCCCCCCCCCCCCCCCCACCCCCCCCCCCCCCCCCCCCCCCCCCCCCCCCCCCCCCCCCCCCCCCCCCCCCAACCCCCCCCCCACCCCCCCACCAACCACCCACCCCCCCCACCCCCCCCCCCCCCCCACCCCCCCACCCCCCCCCCCACCCCCCCCCCCCCCCCCCCCCCCCCCCCCCCCCCCACCCCCCCACCCCCCCCCCCCCCCCCCCCCCCCCCCCCCCCCCCCCCCCCCCCCCCCCCCCACCCCCCACCCCCCACCCCCCAACCCCCCCCCCACCCCCCCCCCCCCCCACCCCCCCCCCCCCCCCCCCCAATTAAACATGGGCGTTTGTTTGAATGAGGCCAGGTAGGTCTGTGGCTGCCTTTGGGGCGTCATCTCTCTCATCTCGTTGCCGCGAAGGGCCACGTTGTCAGTCCAATTCGGGCATCGTCCGCCGGGCAAATGCGAGAGCATGTGGACATCACGGTCCTATTGTATCTGGTTTTATTATATATCATATCCTGAATTCCGGTAATAGGTCTCGGGATTTGTTGATGTATCTCCCGGTGCCCTGCCCAGGATAAATACTATGAATTTGATCAGCAGAAGCAAAATGGCCGGTGACTAAACACTCAGCGGTCGACCGCATAGACAAGTTTTAAATGGCGATAGTTGATCCCCAGCGCAGGGCGTAGCGAGGCCGTACCAAGCAGACGAACAGGTTCCTCCAGGCGAACCGTCCAGTCTGGCAGGTCGGATACGGGGGTTACCGATCGGTCAGGAGGGGTGGATGAAGCGACCGAAATCTGAGAATATCCAGCTACGGAAAGCGGTGGTGAAAGGCTTCCTGTTGTTCAAAAGACAGATGTGGGATCAATCGCTGGTCAGGGAGATGCTAAATGCACCGCATTGAGGTCAAGCCTGACCGAACAGCACCAGTTGCTATGCAACCGGGTCAGGCAACTTTTTCCCTTGGTTTACGGGCCGTCTGCCCCGACAGTAACCCTGGCATCTAACCCCGCTCCGCGCTGACACTGAGGTCAGCAAGGTCTTCCGCTTTTTCTCGGTAGCGTCGAGGTCGTGGCCCATCTGCACGGCTGATCGTTTGGCATCTCTATAGCCCTGCTGACCTTCACCCAATGGTTGCGCCACTCTCTAGGTTCTCTCGACCGGCATCGGGACAAGAAGTGCGGGCAGCAGGTTCTTCAACCGAGTCAGGTTTCTCCTCCCTGAAGGCGGCGGAGGAGAGAGGTCAGCAGCTCTCGGTATGGCTCGAGGTCGTGAACCCGTGCTCCGGGGGTGTTGTCCCGGTCGTCCCAAGTGCGGACGCGCACCTTGGATCGCCAATTGGGTGATTGAGGGAATGCATGCACCTCCGCCAAAACAGAGGCCGCCCTGCCGCCGTAGCGACTCCACGCTGGCATCGGACAGATGGTCGGCGTATCGAGTGTTGGTAGCAACGAGGTAGCACTTCACGGCGACATGTCCACAAACGATGTCTGCGACGGCATATGAAAAGGCCAGGTCGGTAAGAATCCGGGTTCCTAGGTCCCCATGGGCGACGACGCAAACGCTGCTCACTTGTCGGCCTTCGACTGGTCAGATCTGACCAATGTCTTGCAGGAGCGACGATGACTTCCTGTCACTGCCCTTGTCTTTCCGCGCAAGGTGGGCAGCCTGCAGGTGTGTTCGAATTGCGAGACCCCTTCGCCGTGGTACTCCACATCTTCAGCGCTCCTGAATGACTCGGGAAAGGGGTCCGCAGCGGCCTGTCGGTCGCCAGTCATGGCAACTTCGTTCGTCGTTTTTTCGGGGGAAAGAAGACCCGTGATTCGAGACCGTGATCTTCATTTAGCCTCAAGTCAACGACCGTAGAATTTCCCCTGCCCATCTTCAAGAGGATAGGAACCGAGGCCAGTGCCGACACAAGATTAGTCCACCACGAGGAGAACAAACTGTTGAGTCCCTGACCCACCCGGATGCTCAGGTTCTGCAAGTCGCAGGCAGGCTATCCGTAGCCTCCGCTCTCAACGACCTGGGCTGCATCCGGGCGGCGTTGCGCATCCTGCCGAATTACAGCACGACCATCTGGGAAGCGCTTGCAGCCACGATTACCACACCAGCATTGCTCAGTTCAGGCCCGGGTAATCGCCACAGCAGATTCTCCCCAAAATGAGGGAAAACGTACTCCGCCAAGATCTCGACGCCACTTGGAATATGCCAATTCCTGAGCCGCAAAGGAGACTAAGGGCTGGTTTTAGACGTCACGGTTCCTTCAGCAGACCATCTGACATTTCCAGTTGCCGGTCCGCTGCTGCAGCCAAGGAGAGATCGTGGGTGGCTACTATGACCGTGGTCCCCTCGGCGGAGATTCGCCTCAGAATGTCGATGATGGACCGAGCCGTTGTTGTATCGAGCTCACCCGTCGGCTCGTCTGCGAATACCACTTCGGGGCCAGTGACCAGAGCTCTTGCGATGGAGACCCGCTGTTGCTCACCTCCCGAGAGTTCATACGGCCGGTGCCTCGCGCGGGGGCCAAGCCCCACTGACGCCAGCGCCTCCTGTGCGCGGCGCCTCCGCTCCCGCCACGATACTCCGATTATGTGAAGCGGCAACTCCACATTCTCCTGGGCCGACAGCAGCGGCATAAGACCAAAGGACTGAAACACGAACCCGATACTGCGCCGACGAAATTCTACGAGTTCTCTCTCAGGCAGCCGAGACAGGTCCTGCCCTCTGAACAGGGCGGCGCCGCTCGTCGGCCTATCGAGGCCCGACAACAGGTTAAGCAGCGTGGTCTTTCCCGAGCCAGACCGCCCGGTGAACGCCACAAGTTCACCACTCCCGATTTCGAGGTTCACGTTACTCACTGCCCAGACCTCTGAGCCCCCGCCCTCGAACCTGCGACTCAGTGTGGACGCTGATACTATTGAGTCGCTCATTCTTGCGGCCTCTGGCCAGTGCCAGGGCTGCCACCGGAAGGCCTGAGCGTGACCTGCCCGTCTTCAAGGTCCAATCGCGCCAAGCCGCGGTGGGTAAATCGATCAGCGAATTCCTGGGGTAACTGCAGCCTCCCTGCATCGTCTACCACCAGGAACTCCTCTTCGTTTCTCGAGCCGTCACGCTGGTAGGAGGCGGTGGAAATTGTCTCGGAGCTTATGCGCCCGTCCCGGATGTGCACCACCCGATCCACGAACTGCGCGACCCCGGGGTAGTGGGAAACTATGATCACGGTTACGCCAAAACTCCGGTTCAAGGTCCGGAGCATCTCGAATACCCGGATAGCGGTGGCGGTATCCAGTTCTCCGGTGGGCTCGTCAGCCAGCAGCAACGGAGGCTGGTTGGCCAAGGCGACGCCGATGGCGGTGAGTTGCTGCTCTCCTCCGGACAGTTGATGAGGCAGGCGGCCCGCCTTATCTCCTATGCCCAACGCGGCTAATAACTCGCCAGACCATTCCCTGCGGAGTCTGCGGGGCCGCCCCGACAAGGCCATGGGAAGGTCCATGTTTTCTGCCACATTCAGGTAGGGCAGCAGATTCCGGGCCGTGGTCTGCCACACAAATCCTACGTCCTGGCGGCGGTATTGGACCAGGCTCTGCTCAGTAATGTTAAGCAGGTCTCGCTGGCCAACCCATACTCCTCCAGCCGATGGACGATCCAGTCCGGCAAGAATATTTAGCAGGGTGCTCTTGCCGCTGCCACTGGCGCCGACAATCGCAATGAGCTCGCCCTGCATCACGGCCAGGTTCAGACCGCGCAGGGGCGACGACCTCGAGGTCGGCCCGTTTGTAGATCTTGAACAGGTCTCGACAGATGACAAACGGGTCCCGTCCTTCGATCGTTGGGGCGCTGCGGTATTGAATAAGGGAGTCCATTGATGGCGTTATTCTCCCAATCTGAGTACTTGGTGCAGTCGGAGTCTGCCGGTCAGCCACGTTAGCCACAGGCCGCAGAAAAGGGTGATTACTCCAAGGATAACGTAGGATACCAGCAGTCGCTGCCAGTCGGCCGTGAACACCAGCGAGGGGGTGATTCGTTTGCCCGCCTCTGCGACCTCCATGAGTGGGAGAAGGCTGGCGCCTATAAGCCAACCCAGCAATGTTCCCAGCCCTATACCACAGGCTACGATGATGAACAATCCCGCCCATAAGATGCTGCGCATCTGAACTCGCGATATCCCCAAGGTACGCAGCAGCGCAAACTCGGTCTGCCGCTCCCTCGCGTCCAGGCGCGAAAACAGCAGAAGACCGCTGGCGGTGGCAATGGTAATTGCCAGAAACAACAGAACCAGCAGCCCTCCCCATCCTGCGTTCGCCAGCGGCCGATCCACACGAGAAGCCACTATGGACGGGGCGTCGTGCATGCTCCTGATGCTTACTCCCAGCGTCCCCAAAAGCACTGGAAACTGCCTCTGCATTCACCGCCCCGCCTTCTCCAGAAATCCAAACCTCGTTGGGCCCCGTGGGAGGTCGTGGGCTGTGCCTGATGGCAGACTGAAAGAACCTGGAAAGGTCCACAACAGCAAATGGCTTTTCTTGGGGGTCCAGGGTAGGAAAAAAATTCAACTCCCCGGCCACTTCCAGCAGAATGGAGTAGTTTGACATGCCAACTATCACCGTATCTCCGATTCTGGCATCTGCAACCTCCAGGAATTGCGAGCTGGCCAGAGCTGGAATCGGTTCCTCCGGGCTGCCCGCCCTAACCCCGGTCTGCCCAGCCCCCCCAGCTCCAAAGCTGTATCTTGAGGTTGCGGCGAATTCTCCCTCCGCTCCTGATTCGCTCGACTCTAGGGAATGCAGTCCTGGCTTACGGAAGTCCTCTAAAGCGTGCCAACCCTCAATGCTAACGAAGTCGTGGATAACGCTTTCGCCGCCTGGCGTGGTTGCATTGACCCTCCCAAAGAAAACCGCACTGCCTTCGGTATCGCTGAATCGGCTGCGCACCGAAAACGACATCAGGCGGTACGGTGGCCGCAGGTCTGGTTGCTGCTGACCCCTGAGGAACTGGATGCCTCTGAGGCGCTCCTCGGACAGCGGAAGGGACAGGCTGGTCCAACCGGCCCGGTTCAGCTCTCCCATCTGAGCATCCAGGATCCGACCTCGAGCGTCCTCAAGTCGCGTCCACACCTCCAGGAAAGGAGATGTGCCACCGGGCCTGGCCCAAAGTGTCAAGGCGGTCGCGTCCGGCGGTAACAGGATTCCGTCTGGGCCATTTGTCGATCCAGCCACCTGCTCCCCTGGTTCCAGTAGACTCGACAGGTCAGCGGCCGATAAGTCGTCAGCGAAGTCCTCCCTGAGCAAGGCGGTATCCCCAATGGTGTCGGCCTGCACCGCCAGCAGGGTGCCCGATGTGCTGAATCCACTGGTGGTGATAAACGCCGAGGTACGGTAGACATCCGTTGCCGCTTCGATACCCTCCAGACCGTCCACGGTTGCAGCCACCCCGGCAGTCTCATCCGGGCTGGTATGCCTGATTCGCAGATCGGCCCCTGCCTCGTACAAAGCCTGGTCGCGCTGCCCTCGTTCCAAGGTAGCGGAGAGGGAACTACCCATGACCCCAAGAGTTGTCGCAAGCATGACCAGTACAATCAGCATCGCAGGCGTGAGGGGGTCGCGGGAGAGGTGCCGCAGCACATGAAGAAGCCAAGCAGGGGCCACCGGCCCGGCAAGCTTGGCGAGAACTGCGGTGGCAGCGGGAAAGGCCCGCAGCACGATCAGGCCGGCGGCCACCAGACCCAGCACCGGCCCGAGCAGCAGGCTGTAGTCAATCGACAGTTCCCTGCTGCCAAGGGACTGTACCAGGAAAGCGCCGCGGCTCTGTAGTTGCCACCACACCAGTCCTATCAGCGCCAGCAACGCCACGTCCAAGTAATAGCGGTGGAGAATGTTGGACGTGGAAGGACGGGAACTTGCCTGACGGGCCTCTACACCTCCCTGCCGTGATGCCACCAAAGTGGCCACGGTGAATACCAGGACGGCCAGTACACCGCCAGCCATCCCGAGCAGGAATGCTGGAAATGAAATCCCGACCGCCACGCTGGCTGCCTCGTCTGAAGCGCCACTCAACCGGAAGAATACGAATCCCAGGAACTTAATAAGCCCCAAAGCCAAGTAGGGCCCAGCGATGACTGCGGGTGTTGCCACAAGCAGTCCTTCACCAAGCCCGAGGATGGCTATCTGCACCGCGGTAGCGCCCCGGCTTTTCAGCAGGCTAATTTCCGCCATACGGGAACGCACTATAAGCCCCGCTATCAGCGCCAGATAATACGTCAGGATGGCTACAACGAGGAACAACATCAACAGCAGCGGTAGCTGGGCCAGGAGCAGTTCCTGCTCGAAATCGTGCAAGAGGTTGTCCAACCTGATGGAGTAGCTAGCATTCATGAGGCCTGCCGTTACCGTGTGTTCGATCTGGGCCAGCAGGCGTTGAAACCCTGATTTGCGTCTCGGTCTTCCTATCCCGATCTGCCATGGCGGCTCTCTGTTCCGTATCGGTGTTGGAACTACCTACCCAGGTCGTGTCCGTATATATAAAAGGATACGAAACCAGTACCTGGCGCAACAGATCTTCTTGCACTGTCAAATGAGCGTACCATCGTCCTACAAGGGAGGTCGTCGTCCTTTTCTTCCGGCCGCTGCGGCACAGCAGAGTCCGACCCAGACGCATCATTAGAGGTGTAAATCCAGCACTTCGAAAACAGCGACGATCCGCACCGCTATTGGCGGCAAGTCATTAATTGATGATGCAGGGAATATTTCCATTTCGTCGCCAACGCCCATGCCCAGGAGCTGCGATCCCAACGTGTCCACTGCAATTTGCACCGGCTCACCGCTGGAACCAGGACCTGTCGGCCACTGACCCTCCAATACCCTGATGCGCCCATCCAGACCCGTCAGGTGAACCACAGATCCTCGAGGTCGGGAGTCCCGATCCACCTCCAGGCCGGGCCGCCCCTGAAAGAAGAAGGTAGCGGTCTCAATCATCCTCGACTGATTCTTGAGGTACGGCTGGAAGGGCTCCTGAACATACTGCCGGATAAAATTGTCCCTAGCCCGAAAGGCTGCACTGCGTCCCTCACCGTCGGGAGCATCTTCCCTGCTGCTGAATGAACGCACCTTAAAGTTGACCTTGTCAGGTTCTGATCTCGCCAGGAAATCGCGCAGGGCTGCGTTGGACAATAGATCGGAGAAGATGACCCCGCTGGCCATCAGCGCTACCGCCAGCATCGTTCCGCCGAACAGCACCATCTCGAGACGCCAGCCGCTGACGCCCCTCCCAATGGCCATTACGTACGCGAAACGAAACAGAGCCGCCAAAAGGCTACGCTCCCATCCTCAACACTTCAGCCGGCCGATCGCGGCGAGCGAGGACCGCTGAGTAAAGGGCGGACCCCATCACCGCTACCGTCAGTCCGGCCAGTACCAGTGCCAGGAGCAGTTCGTGCACCTGGGGAACCAACGGCGGCACGGAGGTGGAGCCGCCAGATGTCAACTCAAGCATTTGAATGAGTTCCAGCCCAGGCCAGTAACCAATGGCTGCACCGGCCAAAATCGCTGCTCCGGCCATCAGCCACTTTTCGGCTATTAGGGTCAAGAGGAGTTGCTTTGTCGAGAGACCCATGACCAGGGCTACTGCCGTGTCGACCCTGGCTGCCCTAGCGGCCGCCACGCTATACAGCAGCGACGCGATACCCACCGCGATTCCGACGGCGCCCATGCTCAGGCCGGTAAGGCCGTTCCATCCGCCGCCAGCGAGAGGATTCCGAGATGCCCTTTCGGCGACGCCAGCGCGGTCGATGGCCGAAGCCAATTCGGGCAGCTCACGGTCAATTCTCGAGATCAAGGCGTCTCTGTCGAAGGAGGGGTCCAGCGAGAGCCAGATTTGGCTGGCATCGTCGACTCGACCTACTGAAGGAAGGAACTTCCTGTAAGACTCAAAGGCAGCAATATCCAGGATCACAAAGGGCCGTTGCGGTCTGGCTACCGTGGGAAACAGTTCCGTTACTTCTACGATTTTGATGGGTATGTACGCCTGGCCGTGCTCAAGCCATAAGTTATCGTTGAGGCCAAGGCCACCACCGCCAATGGCAGGTATCGGCAGATTCACGGGCGGGACATACACCCCTCGCTGCTGTCCGGTAAATGGCTTCACCCAGGTGAATGTGAGACCGTCCGACCCGGACCGAGCTCCCGAGTTGCCCCGAGATACGACGTCCTGGACTCCCGCATTTGCGACAATGGGACTCCAGTTGCCATTTGTTTCGAAACCCTCCACTACAATACCCTCTGTCGGCAAGGATGGTCCGAAAGCCGTAATCTCGTCAAGGTGGACGCTTCCCGACGGCACTCTCGCAAATGAACTGGTGGTAAGGAAGATTGCTGTCAATGTCCACTCGGTGTCCAGATTGACCATTCGCTCTGACAATTCTCCGACAAACAACTGCCAATTCTCCGCTGCGCCGTCGCTTTGACCAAGAAAGCTCCCCAGCGATACATTTCTGTATATGCCTGAATCATCAAACCAGCTTGGCCCATACGTTAATGTTGGACTGAAGCTCGGTTGCACCGATGCCTCCGATGTCCAGCCACACACCTACACTCTCCAGTCCGACAGGCAGCGACACACCTGCAGGTCCATCCACTGGGTGGGTGCGAATCCGCTCCGTAAGTTGAACCAGGGTTGAACTGGCGAAATCGTCCCGGAACCAGGCGGATTGCGCCAGACCGTGTGGGTCGGCGGCTATCAAGAGTGCTGAGAAGGCCGATTGTCCCGTTGACAGATCTACCGTTTTCCGCAAGACAGGAGTGACAGTCCTGACGCCAGGCAACTGCACCAATTCACCTGGCAGATTTCCCGTTACGCCGGGACCGGAGATGACCACATCACCCCCGACCCTGTACAGGGCTTGCTGTCTCTGGCTGCTGGACAGGCTTGATTGGAAGGTCGCGCCGAATACCCCCAGCGCAGCCGACAGCATAAGCAGCACCGACAGGGACGATGGCAGTACGGGGTCTCTGGCAACTCGGACCATGCCAAGGGATGACCACGCCGGGCCGGCCCGCATGCATAGCCAGACGGTCAAGCGCACCGCCAAGGGCAACACCCGCAGCAACAACAAGGCCGCAGCCAATAGACCAAGCACAGGCGCCAGTATCACTGAGGGATCCAATTCCAAGCCGCGCGTGGCCAGCGACCTCGTCAGGAATCCCTCTCTCTCGCCAAATTGCCACCACAGCAGGCCGACGGCGAGGATAGCGACGATGTCGAGGTAGTAGCGTTGCAGAATAGAAGTCTCCGGAGGGCGGGACCTGCTAGCCATGGATGCCGAAACTCCGGAACGTGCACGTGCCGCCGCCGAAAATGCCAGAGCCGCCAATGCCAGGGCGGCTCCAATGGCACCTATCCAAAACATCTCTCCGATTATCCCGACCTCGATAGGACCTCCGCCCAGCCCACTGAAGACGGGAAGCATCGCATAGTGCACGATGACCCAGGCGAGTAGCGGCCCCACTGCCACGGCGACCGCAGCCAGCATCCCGTCGGCGAGGAGCAGAACGCCACATACCTGGACGAGACTTCCGCCTCTACCTCTCAGGAGGCCCAGTTCGTCTGATTGGCTACGCCCCAGGATGCCGCTGATCAGGAACAGGAAATACAAAACAATGACGACTACCAAGGAAACAAAGACGTAGATTGGTACCCTGGCCAGTATCAGGTCTCGCTCAAACTCGCCGAGCGTCAGTCCCAGCCGGCTGAACACAAATGTACGGGGATAGGATTTATTCAGATCAGTTTCTAGGCCATCCAGCGACTCCTGCGTGGCATCCACAGTTTGCGCCGTTATCTTTGATGGGTCGATGAACACGTTGTAGCCAAAGTCGCCAATCGCGGTCGAAAACCGGGTACCGAGCACCTGCAAGAAATCGTCCTCGCTTACGTACGCCGGGACGACAAACATCTCCCCAACCGTCTGCAGACTGAACTGGCTTGGGTAACCCATCCAGAATTCATCGCGGGGGTCAATCGGGGCCACCACACCTACCACATCCAGCACAATGCGCTCCTCGGGAGAGGAACGAAAGGGAGTGATGTATATTCGGTCGCCTACTTCGTATCTCTGATCCCTGGCGGTTTTCTGCCCCACCACGGCCTGTAACTCGACGCCTGTGGGCCCCGCCCTGCCTGGCTCTTGCGGCCAACTCCCTTCGATCAACATCGAATGCTCAGGAAATCCGGTCATGAAGAAGGGCCTGCCTGCCAGAGTAGTCACCGGAGGCGGTCGCTGGCTGGGGTCAATGGACAATGGCATGCCAGCCTGGGTACGCCCAAAGCGCTCCACCTGAGACACTAACTCACCGAGGCGCTGATCTATCGACGAATCGACAACACCCTGCAATTGTTCATAGTCCCCGGGTGCCAGAGACCTGTTCCCCGAGATAATCTGGACGTCGAGGCTGCTAGGCGGCTGACTGTAAAGCGCATAACGTACGCCTGCTTCCGCCAGCACTCTGGAGAACAGGGTAGTGGCGCTCAGCAGCACAACCGCGGCCATGATGCCAAGGAACGTGGCTAAGACCAGCCCCCACGACTGGCGCAACCGCCGCCGGGTTATCCAGAAAGAGAGTTGTACGAACTGAGCCATTGCGCGATTATACGCGGCTGCCCATTGTTGGGGCCGTAGCCTCGCCTTTATGTCTTCCTTCAGTCACTGTGTAGTTGTCGGCGCACGGTGCTGAAGTAGTAATGTAGGCTCACCAGTCGACCGGTCCATCCCAAATACCCGAAATCAGCGGAGTCTCCTGTTTGAAAGCACAATCGATGAAGGGGATGTCGATTCGATCACTAAAGCAGAAATTGGGCTTTCACAGAGGCACCTTGAACATAATCCTGGCAGCGCTGGCAGCAGGGGGTGCTCCGACACCTCAACGAGGCTTGTCAACATTTCTTGGCGACGACTACGCCCGTTTCCTGCCAGTACAGGTTTTATAGTAGTCGGGGCTTGTGAGGGAGTTGTGGAAAAGGTATCGTCACGCTCACGCAGCCGAGACATCCATTGGGAGGAGGACAATGGCAACTACTCGAGCGCCGTTCCTGTCGACCAAATACAGCGCCTATTATCACTCCCAAGTTCCCCAAGAAGATGAGGAGTTGACCCACATTGGCCCTGGAACGCCCGCCGGGGAGTACCTTCGCCGTTTCTGGCAGCCCGTCTGCTACGCTGACGAACTAGCCGATGTCCCCGTCGCCCTGAAAATCCTCGGCGAAGAACTGGTGGCCTTCCGAGACTTCAGTGGCCGGATCGGGCTGGTGGAGGCTCACTGCCCTCATCGTGGCACATCGCTGGAGTACGGACTGGTATCCGAGCGCGGAATCCGCTGTTGCTACCACGGCTGGCTCTTCGACGTCGACGGCACCATTCTTGAGACACCCGGTGAGCCCGCTGGCAGCACTTTCAAGGACCGGCTCTGCCACGGTGCATACCAGTCCACGAGTTCCAGGGCATTATCTTTGCCTATATGGGGCCTCCAGAAGACATGCCGGACTTTCCCCTTTTCGACACCTACGAGCGTAAGGGATACCGGCTGATGCCCGGCAAGCGGTACGACTATCCGTGCAACTGGCTGCAGATCTTGGAGAATGCGATGGACCCAGTCCACGCTTCCTTCCTTCACACCATAGTCGCGGGAACTCAATTTACTGACGAGTTCGGCGTGATTCCCAATCTCGACTTTGTGGAGACACCCTCCGGGGTCATCTCGATGGGCACCCGCCGGGTCGGCGACAACGTGTGGGTGCGGACAACAGAGTGCGTGATGCCAAACGTGCAGCAGATAGCCCCCGTCTGGAACGACGGCAAGGGGCCGGATGGGTTCGACGGCCCCATGATGACACGATGGATAGTGCCCCGTGACGACACCAGCACTATGCTGCTGGAGCTGCGCCACATCTCCAAAGACGAGGAGAGGGAGCCCGCGTGGTGGCTGGACCGGGATCAGATGCTGCCTGCCCAGCTTCCAGAGTCCGACGACCTTCGGGACCAACAGATGCAGCCCAGCGACTACGAGGCTCAGGTCAGCCAGCGGCCAATCGCTGTCCACGGCCTGGAACATCTGGGGGCGACCGACCGGGGCGTCACGATGTTCAGGCGACAGATACGAAAGGGCATCAGGTCGGTGCAGGCTGGCGAGGGGCCCGGCGCCCAAGGACGGGACGAGAACGGTCGCGTCTCCACGTTCTGCATCGACACGGCGGTTCAGATGCCGCAGGCGGCCACTCCGGAGGAAGACACCAGGAAGATGCGGGAACTCGGCCTGCAAAAGGCCGTGGAATATATCAACAACCCGCCGCACAAATAGCAGCACCACCTCGTCAGTTCCCCAACAACGGCCCGGGCGTCTCAACCTGGGCCGTTGTTTTTGCCTGACGCAAGGTCTCTCAGCAACCGTTAGCGCTGCAGACCTCCACTAGCCTCGAGGCCTTCGATTTATCGGCGTAGCATACATTGATTCACGGCAACACCAACCATAGAGATGTGCAGAGGTGTGCTGGGCAATGACAGAGCCAGAATACCGAAGCTGCATTGGCCCAACGACACCGGCGCCCATTGGTCGAGTTCTCCGGAAAGCACTGTGGCCCTGGCGCTGACATCTTGAGTCTGTGGTAACCGCAGGTAGAGTTCCCACCCGGAACATTCTGCCGACACCGCCACCTCGCCGAAGTAGATGCCTTGCAAGTCCTTGATACAGCTGGATTGCGATTACAATAGCGATATTCTGCCGAGAACAGTTGAAAGAAGGAGAGGGGGTTGAAATGCGTTTGCAAGGCAAGGTTGCCCTGATCAGTGGTGGAGCAAGAGGGATAGGGGCCGTCGAGGCCCACCTGTTCGCCCGCGAGGGGGCCAAGGTGGTTATCGGGGACGTACTGGAGGAAGAGGGCCGAAAGACCGAGGCAGCGGTGAACGAGGCGGGTGGTGAGTGCATCTTCGTGCGGCTCGACGTGACCAGCGAGGATGACTGGGCGGCCGCCGTTGCCACCACAGTGTCCCGCTTCGGCAAGCTGGACGTGCTGGTCAACAACGCTGGTATCTCGATCACCGGCGGCATTGAGGACCTGACGGTTGAGGACTGGGAGCGCACTTTCGACATCAACGCCAAGGGAGTGTTCCTGGGAACCAAAGCCGCCATACCCGAGATGCGAAACGCGGGAAGCGGGAGCATCATCAACATCTCGTCGGGGGCCGGTATTGCGCCCGCGCCCGGCACCTCCGGAGCATATGCGGCCAGCAAGGGCGCGGTGCGGATTTTCACCAAATCAACGGCTATCCAATACGCCAGGGAGAACATCCGCTGCAACTCAGTGCATCCCGGACCAGTTGAAACGCCGATGCTGCGATCCGCCCGCGGCTCCGATACCCAGCTTGATGAAGCTGTCGATCGGGTGCCGCTGGGACGGATAGGAAGGCCGGAAGAAATCGCCTACGGAGTGCTCTACCTGGCTACCGACGAATCGTCTTTCGTGACTGGCTCAGAGTTGGTGATAGACGGCGGAAGGACTGCCCAGTAATACCGTGGATATAGCCACCGGAGTTGGGACTATTATTTCCCCCAGAGATCCGCGGGTTGCCCAACCCTTCTGCCCCACCACTCCGGGCCCTCGCTGATGTAAGCCCACTCAGGATTCTGGTCAACGTCGCGCAGAGCATCCATTACCGCACAGAACGTGGAGGCGTCCGCTTCGGCAAACTCGAAGTAGCCGACAAAGTCGTAGCTTCCCTCCGTGCCGTACCCTTCGGAGGCGTGCACCAGTCTCCGGGTTATGCAGGAGATGCCCTCGTCTGCTGCCAGTGCGTGGCCTTTTACCACCATGTTCTCTTTGGCATCGTATCGTGGCAGAAAGAAGCTTTCCCGGTGCATCCAGTCCATGCCCCACCATTCCGCACTCTTGTTCATCGGGGTCACCACTCCCAGAGGATGGACGCTCCCTGGGCCGGGCTGCTGAGCGCGAGCATACGCGTACTGGGTCATAGCGTGGCTGGTATAACTGCGAGGTTTTTGAACCCCGGATAACGTCTCCACGCTGCCGCCCGAAGGGTTCAGCAGCTGCCGCAGGCCCTCCTCATAAATCAAAAGCGGCTCTGGTGCCTCCGCCTCCAGCCGGGATCAGGCCATCGGCATCCATCACGGCCGGATGGGAAAAGGTCCTGCTCCCTGCTCATGGTCGGCTCCGCCCTCAGAAACTGAAACCGTCCTCGCTGGAATGCTTCCGCCGAAGGCGGCCCATCCACGCAGTGCATGTTCTCCATGCCGTCGCCGAGACGTCCCATGGCCTCAGCAAGGCCCGAGTCCGCGTCGCCCGCCGGGAGTTTGATGAACAGGAACCGCTGGTATCCCGTTACGGTGGTAGTCAGGTTGAGATCGGAAGACCGCATGGATAAACCTCCCCGGAGAATGGGCAAAAGCTCGCGAGTGTTCAACACGTAAGGGATTCTATAGTCAAAGCTGCCCTATATTTTCGCGGCGGCCTCAAGAGGACAGCGTTCCGTTCCAAGTGATCGGGCCACATTTTGGGGCAGCAGCTGGCGCCCTTGGGCGTCATAGACTCACGACAACAAATCCCCGTGAGGACGGGGATCACTGAAGGTTCTGCAGGCCACGCAATATTATGAATTCTTCCTGTCCTCTTGGTTATGCGATGCCAAGAAAAAGGGGGTGGAAAGCGTGCAATTCTGTGCAATAGTGTGCAATTCTGTCGCTTTGGGTCGGTTCGGCGGTGATAGATGGGGGACCGGGTTGCGGTCGACGTGATCGGCCATGGTTCTCTCCGGTGCATCGGCGGTAGTGGAATTGCGGACATCCGGGTCCACCATACCCAATGGTACGAAGATGTCATGAGGCATGGCAAGGGCCTGCTGTCAGCAATGTAGCGTTTCGTTCCAGGCGGTCTGGTTCTGGGAAAATCGCTTTGACGCAGGAAATGGGCGGGTTTGAAACCCCGCCACTTCGGGATACATGCCACCTGAATCGGAACAGTACCCCACAATAGGCCGGGAACGCGCAACCTGTCCCTCACCCGAGAACCCTGCCCTGACTGGCACCACGTGGCCACTACCCGACGGCGCTCAATACAGGACCCCGCCCACCAGATGCGATGGCTGGTGGACTAGGCCGTATCAGGACATCCCCGTGATCTGGAAAATTTTGGACAATCTGAACACGCACCGGATGGCGTTGCTGTATGAGACCTTCCCGACAGACGAGGCTCGGCGCGTCGCCAAGCGGCTGGACTTCAACCACGCTACCAAGCACGGAAGCTGGCTGAATCCTGTTTTGGGCTTGTCGAAGGGATGGCTGAGATCGAGATCAGTGTGCTGGCCCTAGCCTGCCTACGGAGGCACAACGGCGATGCTGACAACTTGCAAAGAGCCGTCGGCACCTGTGTGTCAGAGCGCAACGCTGGCAGAGCGATGATTAACTAGCAGTTCACTGGCCAGAGCCCTCCCTCGGCTCCGGCCGGGGCACGCCAGAGGGAAACTCCGTCGACTCAGTCCTTGCACTTCAGCATTGATTTACCGCTACTATAAGCTGCCGGGTCAGGGTTGCCACGCCGTTTGCCTTTGGAACCGGCAGGCGCTGTTGCGGCCTGCGGTGTCACCGGCAATACGGCCGGTCGGATGCTGGTATTTGGGGCTGAACCAGCTTGGCCCTTCCGCACAGCCGTTGCCGGCAGCGACCCCTTCACGGTTGGCGTATCATGCTGGCAGCAGGGCGCACTTTCTGCCAAAAGGGCTCAGGAGGTCCCAGGTGTACAAGATCGGGATAGACGTTGGAGGCACCTTTACCGACTTTGTCGTAGCCGAGGAGGGGGGGCAGCCGCGTTTCTTCAAGACCCAGTCTACGCCTAAC